GCGATATATAAAGAAATCAAAAATTCAAAATACTGACGCTTGTACACAAAAGTGGGTTCGAATCTTGCAGAACTATCGTCAAAAAAAGAATATTTCTTATGATATCCAAACTCTAAATGATAAAGAGCAACTTGAACATGAATTATGCAAATTTTTTGCTAATATTAAGCGACAGGATGGAAAACCTTATAAAGTCAAGTCAATTGTATCAGCCTACACCTCTCTTCGACGATTTCTGTGTGAAACTTCAGTAATTAAAAATGTTAACATTAATGATCGGTTTCAATTTCCTATTTTATACCAGGTTGTGAATGGAAAATATATAGAATTACAAGACCAAGGATATAGTGAAACTGATAAATCAAAAGGATTAACAAAAAAAAGAAATTCGTCAGATTTTATTGTATCTTAACTCAGGTGACCAAACAGCAATGCAACTTACACAAAAAGTATTTTTCTGGAATGCATACTTACTAGGATTACATGGTGGTGATCATTTTCGACTTCTCTTAAGTTGCTTTGATTTTCAATCAGATGGAAGCTTGATTTTTACAATAGGACGTGAGAAAAACAATCAGGGTGGACTTCAAGATCGAAATAAATATGGAAAATTTTCTAGCCGACGTATACATATTCCTGCAGATTTGCCAAACAATAAATTTAAACCTATACAAGATCTTCAGAGTTATGTAAATTTGCGTCCTGCAGATGCATATGAAAAGTTTTATTTGCAACTAACAAGAAATTCACAAGCAATTCAAGACAAGAACTTGTTTCTTAAATCTGGACTTGGACGACATACATTAGCAAATATGATGAATGATATTGCACAATCATCTAAAATCAATATCACTGATCAACGTATTACTAATCATTTAGGAAGAAGGACGGCCATTCAACTTTTGTCTGATCTTAGTGTAAATGAACATGAAATGATGACATTTTCAGGTCATCGATCAGTTAATGGATTACGATCTTACAAAGTTCCTAATAACGAGCAACAACTAAAAAATACTAGAACATTAATTAATGCAATTCAAGAA